AATGATGGTGCCAACTTGGGCCAGTGAAGCAACGTCCTCCACAACTAGACTGAAGAACAAAAGGACAGCAACTTGTCTGTTCCCCTTCCCCAAATAAATAAAATTAAAAAAAAAAAAGAAGAAGAGGTACTGGGACACAGACATGACCACATGAGGACACAGGAAGGAGATGGCATCTCCACGCCAAGGAGAAAGGCCTCAGGAGAAACCAGCCCTGCCAACATCCTGATCTCAGATTCCCAGCTTTCAGAACTGTGAAAAAACACATTTGTGTTGTTGAAGCAACCTGGTCTGTGGGCTTTGTTCTGGCCCCTGACCTGACTAGTCGCCCCGAGCTCTGCTTCTCATCAGCACACTGGGAAGAAGGCCCTGCGCAGGGAGAGCTCGGGGCTGAGCTGCGGCATATCAGAACAAACCACTAGGATGGGCTGATGTCCTGGGAGCGCCTTTAGGTGCTTCCTTCTGCCCAGGCAGAAGTGAATCCCTAAGATGTTTTAAACTTCCTACCAAGTTGTGCTTTGTTTTTCTTTCATGTGAAGTGTTGAAACCTCACGTGCCCACCCAAAGGAGGGCAAATAAAGAGGGGCATCCAGGCCACAGGACTCATGGCTGAGACCCTCTGGGACGCCCATGCTCTGCTGGCCTTAGCCACCCCAAGAGGTAACCTGTGGCCCCCACACAGTGTTGCAAGAAGAGATGAGGTGATGGGAACGGGGGGGCATTACCCAACCCCTATCTCCGCCTCCAGGCCCCTGGCCCCAGCCCAGGTTGCATCACAACTGAGCCAAGGAGCTTCCTGTCCCTGGGGAGGAGGGACAGATACTGGGACGCCCATGGAGCCCAAAAGAAGGGATGAGAAAAGCCCAGCCCAACCTCAGGGCAGAAGACAGGATCCTGGTGCTTTTCTGCTCACACCAGTTTTAAACAAGCAAGGCAGTTTGGGGGTGCTGGGGGGCTCCAAGGAAGGGCAGAGTGAGCACTGGGGTGATGGCTGGCATTCTTGGTCATCCGTCAGGCCCTGGTTCTCTGCTCCCCTTGCACCCAGCAAGCCAGCCCCACAACCAGCTGCCCTTTTGCAGGACGCCCCCCTCCCCGACCCAGAATGGAGCAGAGGCATGGGAACGGCCTGGGGCTCAGTGCCTGCAGGGACCTGTCACAGGCGCAGCTGGATGTGAAACCTAGAAATGAAAACAAGGACTTCTTCCCTCGTTCATGAATGAATTTTTGTAACAAGCCAGGGCAGGTCGCCTTTCTGAATATTTCCAGTTGGACCCTCAGGGGGCACATTTGATGGATTAATGTGAAAATGTAAAAAAAAAAAGCACAGTACTCAAGAAGGCTGTGGGTTAGAGGTGTTCTTAGGAATACCACATCATCTCAAAGCTTTGACATCCTTTGAAATAGTTTCGATAAAGATCTCAATAAAAGGAAAATGTTGCAAGAGATATATTCAGCAAAGGAAATCAAATATCATGATAAAGGTTACTGTCATCTTTTAAACATAGATAGCATCAAAGAAGAAGAGAAAATATATCCACAATAACCCAGAATTAACAGTCTAGATGCTATCAACAAGGTGGATTTGAGGGGAGGTGAGACCAGGAGATATGAGAGAATGATAAACATCCTCTCTCTTGAGGTGACATAGAGATGTGTATTCTAGAAGAAAGGTAAGAAAGGAAGAAAAAGAGACACAGAAGTAGCTGAACAATATGAAATAGTAAATGAAGATGATAGAAACCAATCTGAGTCTATCAATGATTGTCATAAATACAGACGGAGTAAACTAACCAGTTAAACCGCCAATATTGAAGATGGATATTAAAAAAAAACACCAGATATATGCTGTTTACAAGA